TAAATATATCATAAATTCATCTTTATTTTCTCTGCAGATACAAACACTATCTACGTACCTAGAGAAAAGAACTAGACAAGTGGCCGAACGATATGGAAATTGCTATGCCCAAAGGTATAGCTGATCAGGTCAAGGGGCGAGAACTATGCGTAGACATGATGACCATCCTTGCTTCTACGACAACACAACAGACTACTTAAGACACAACTTAAATCGAATAATGATCTTTCGGCTAGATCACGAACACAGGAGAGCAACAGCAGCATTGTAGCAAGAAGCACATAAAACAGATATCCTGAAGACAAGGAACTGAACGTTGGTATCCGGCTAAATCCAGTAAGCTATTTGGTTCATGCTGTAGTAGTAGGTAATGAAAAATAGCATTAAAAGTATTCAGTCATATGATCGACTGATACCGACGTTTCAACCCATATCTCAGGGGTCTTCTTAAAGTTAGAGTTGTTGATAACGTTCGCTGATCATTCGAGTCGCGTTTGCAGCAGGTGACGCGTTTGGAGCTAAGAGCGAACTTTCGGGCAACAGGCGCGCGATGGGGCTTAACAAATCCGCGCAGTCTTCGTATCCTCTCTAATGGCAGGCTTTTAACACTTATTTCAATATTACAGAAGTGACTTATCCCCTTCAGTTATATTGTACGCAAACAACCGACCATTTTATATTTTTCGCCATCTGCATGGAGCCGATGATCTTCCAGGACAAAAATGATTCAGTATCGGTCGTGCGCCAGTGGGCCAATCAGCTCCTAGAATTATGGCTGTTTCTTCCTAGTCGTGCGTTTCTATTGTACCATGTACAAAAACGGAATGCGGAATTTATTGGCATATGTCGCCGCGCTTTTGTGATATCGTCAGGCTTACTGTTCATGAGAACAAAAGTGATGTCAAGCACAGTAGTGTTGGTCTGCCTAAATAACTCCTACATACAACTACGAACAATGGGACTGGGTTATAGTCCGTTAAATCTGGTTTTGGAGGAATTGTTTTGTCTTGCGTAGTCCGGCTCACGAACATATTGCGATGCTTATGAAGTAGGACTAGGTGATGTTGAACTTCTTCATGTTGTCGTAAGAATCCACCATGGCTACCACCGTTTCTTTAGTAACTGTGGTTCCAGATTGGAATCACCGCAATTCTGAGTTGTTAGCTTTTCTTCGAACACGCTGGTATCAGAGCCTTTCTTTATAACAAAAACATTTCGATTGATTTTGGCGAACTGCGTATGCTGGATACGTTCAGTGGCGAGTTAAAAGTCTGGCTCATTTAACACATTTTAGTCTTGTGAACGTCCTTGTTACTGTGAATGGGCAATAACACGGCGACCTACTTCAACGTCAAATTGCTAATGAACCTTATTTTGCTGCGCTATTGAATAACTAGTTGTCGTTGCTGAGTTTCATTTCACGGCCTGCCATCGCCGAGTAATTTCACGCCTTCATTTTTTTCGACCGCAAGTCAGCTAACTTAAGTTGAAGTATTCGCTCTGACGTTGCCGCCACAATTTAAGACCCACAGTATGCTGAAGTAATTGCCAGCTCTTTTTTGCCATGTTTCAAAAGTCTGTTTTAGCTGTTTGACGCTGTTTCGAAAACATTTCTGATCTAGCAGCTTTGCAGTCAACGTAATTAATTTTGTTTGATAACTCAAACAGAGTTAAATTTAATTACTGAATGGTTTTTCTCTTTTCCTGCTATTGTGCTGCGCGCATTATTGCTGTAAATAATTACATTCAGAAAAATGTGTCGTTCACGTTCTCCTCTGATCAGATCGGTATGCCGATCAACAGGCTGCAGAGCGAAGACGGTTCGTTGCTCGGGAAGCTAATCTGCGTTCGCGGTGGGATCTATTTTTCTGTACGACTGGTTATGATACAGACTTCATTTTTCTAGGCGTTGTATGCAAAATGTCAGAAGTTCGTCTTGTACAGGTGAAGAAACAGCTGAAATGTAAACGATGTGGCTACAAGTTCATTTGTGAGGTGATTCGTTGAGATCAGGTTTTTATGGCATTCGACTCGCCTTTTATGTTGTAGGGGACATTTGATCAGTTTTACCGGCTGTCTCTTCCAGAGACGTGTCCGTCACCGACAGTCTGCAATTCGCACAAATTCGATGACTGTCACGCGCTTAAACCTCGTGAGTTAATTTCTTTTTTTTATTGTTGACGGTTGTTTCCGTATCTTCGACGTGATTTAGCACCGCTTAATTTCTGCCGTCTTTATCAGGAGCTCAAAGTTCAGGATACGTCGCATTGCAAAAGCTCTGTTCTCGTTTCAGAAACAGTACGGGTCATACTAGAGGATTCACTATGTGATGCTTGCCAACTTGGACAGACCGTAGCCGTAACGTAGTGCAGCCTAATTTTTGTGGTACTCACTGTAGTGATGACCGTCTTTCAGGGGAATTCTGCACAGGCGTTGGGAAATTTTGAAGAAGTTACAAGAACCAGCGGTGCAGCTAGTGATTCTGGCTACCAGTGTCTTGCCAGTTGAAGTTGAGAGGAGCGATTTTGTGAATGAAAATCTGGTATGTCATGTTGGTTAGCCGCATTTCTGGCGTTTACTTTGAATAGAGAGCTCAGTAACATACCGTTATACCGTGGGTAGCACTCACTATAGCCCCAGTGTCTGAGCCCCCGTCACCCTTTCGGTATGCGTGCTCAGCAGTTTCAGGAAGCTTTTCACTGCACCCTGTCTTCCTTGGTGAGAAGTGGTAACTGAATATTGACCGAAAAAATGCGATCCTGTGATCCAAACAACAAAAATCAGTTTTCTTCGATGGATCGTTGGTGTGCCTGGCTGAAGATATTCGCTCTTTTAAGCCGCACCTCAAAATCGAGGGATAACCACTGCGAAGGTTTGAATGGGTGATCAAGATTTCAGAGGAAAGGTTGCTAAATCATATTTTTTCCACAAACCCGCATGACAGGCGGTAAGCCGGTAGACCAAGGATCATTTGGCTCGGATACATTGAACAGTTGACATTGTAGCATTTCGGAATCTAGCTCGTTTTGGTTTATCGCATTATTGGAAGACCAGGATTAATCGGAAAGTTGAAGCTACTCCAAATGCTACTGTAATGAAATGAAGGGGTGTGAAAGTAAGTGTTAAGGTGACATTTTCCAAAGTACAGACTTAAGTGTATATGGTCAGCAAGGTTTCAGGTTTAGAAGTTTTCCAAGCAGCTAGCATTCGATGTGAAGAAGATATAACTGTGTCAAGTTTTCGGTTTCAGTGTAGTCGTAGACCCGTTTCTAAGACAGTTAACAACATGTTTTCCAATGTCTTTTCTTAATTCGTTTATTAACGACGTATATCATAATAACTTTTAACAGTGTTCTCCTGTACAGTGTTGCAAAGTACTAATTTAACATAATATAGTTAAAGTTTTGGACTAAAATAGTAGGATATCGAAAACCTCTGCGGTGGACTATGCAGTCTTGTCGTAGTGGCGGGGATAATGTACTCATCATTCAGTCATACATCGCCTTGAAACGTGTTTCTGTACCTTGATAGTTGCACCAATTGTGTAACGTTGAAATGAGGTTGCATATGCTAATAAAGGCATTACTGAAAAATGAACTGTCATTTTCTGGCGCATAATTCGTTTTTCGTTTGTTTTCCCGCGTTCACGTCATTTTCTTCTCACGTGTAGGAAGAAGAGTTTCAGAAATTTTGGCAGCAGCATGAGCAGCACTTGTTGCGTGGTCGAAATGTTATTGTTTCCAGTTTTTGTCCTGAAATCTGTGAACTGTATTTCGTAAAACTCGCTCTGTTACTCGTGGTCATCGGTGGAGTGTCAGGCACAAGCGAAACAGGTAACTGAAAGTTTCTTTTCTTATCAACTTAAACACTTTCGATGAGAAAAGCATGATGATGATGATGAGCCATGTGAATCTGGCTTGCTCCCTTTTACATGTAGTCCTGTCATTTTTCTGTGGGGTGGCCACAGGAGGTTCTTGTTCAGTAATAGGCGAATGATCGATTTGTCATGCCAACGACTCGGCCGAACCCCTTCAGCTGTTTTCTGTTTGCATCAATGAGATGGAGTATACAGGGTTGCCCAACGAACTTTGACAAGTACAAGAAATGGCATAACGTAAAGCACCTGCCAATCTTTCACCTGTCCACGATCAAGAGCCCATGAATGGTTATGAGTAACAACAGAAGTTCTTGCTTACATTTTACTTGTAATGGCTGTAAACATTGTAACTGAGTCCTGCTGTTGCCTATGCGTCAGCGATTTAGATTTGGATTAAGGTATAGTTCCACTTCGCCATCACTATTAACCACTATTCGACGGCGTGATAGTCATGTCGACAGTACGCAGCTGTTGATGATGTCTTTCTCTTATGTTGATGAGCTTTGCACAGGATCACATAACTGGTGCCTAATAGACGATTTCCTAAACCGTTTTAGAACTTATATCACTATCTCGTTCTGTTTCGCTTCATTACCCCCAGGTTTCTTAGGTTGCACACAACAGATAGCACAGTATGGGCTACCAAGGGTAAATGCATACAAAGTAAGAATACAGATAAACGGAAAGATCAGCATGCATTTCACACTAATCTTGAGTACTGCAGCTCATGCGGATCATAACTGATACCACCATGTGTTAGTATGCTTTAGTGTGCTGGTATGTTTTAAATCTTTTTTCACTTTTTGGCGATGTTTTAAATACTGAAAAATTTTCGCCTTTGACATTGTTTTCGCTTTCAGGAACTGTTCTTAGAGGCGACCCTCATATACTACTGATTGGTAAACCGGGAACAGGCAAGTCTCAGCTATTGAAATGCGTGAGAAAGCTGGCGTCTCGTTCAGTCTACACTACCGGCATAGGAACGACAAACGCTGGACTGACATGCCATGCTGTTAGGGATGGAGGCGAATGGCACCTGGAAGCTGGAGCTTTACCTCTTGCTCACGGAGGTAAATACTTGTAATGCGTAACGGATATTGATTTTTTCGAACTGCGTGTAGATTATCTAACCAGTTCGACCTCTAAGCATTAAGCTAAACACTGGTTCATTAAGTTACCAGCTCAGACAAAGCTTTGTTGAAAAGCAACCTGATAGACCTTTCAACAGGATAACATTTAGTAATTTTATTTTTTATTTACTAGTTACATTTTGTACTGATTAATACAGCTGTCAGTAAGTGTACAAGGTGCAGTGCAGTAGTAGAGCACATAGTCAGCATCATCAAGTTTATTGCCTTGTGATGCGACAGATAGTTCTACCGTACTATCAGCTGTCCCACAGTCCAACAGTAGCTTACCGTAGTTCTCGTAAATTCTGTACATCAGAGCTCTGTGTTGTCGAAATTACTGGCATATCGTCGACCTACTGTCGTTGTTTCTGCTGGTTGCACCAAAACATCGAAGCGAATTCCTTGTATCGAGGTAATAAGCTGTTAGTAGGTAAGGTTTTCACCGCGCTTGTTTTCAAATGGGTACCTGAAAGTTTCAAAGTTGGGAAGTTTCCTGCATGAATCGAGTCACGGAGGAACTCCATTTTTCATCATATACAAAATGGAACGGTTGTCACATTTAATGGTTACACAGAGCGAATAAATAACTACTATTTGACTCTAAGCATAAATAAGTGATACTGAGTTTCAATCGCAGAAGAGGTGCGCTGACGCTGGGATGGCAGATTTCTGATAGAGCTCGACTCTCTCATAGATATTGACATTTCTGGATCTGGTGGTTACGCTACCGGTACAGACACTGCGCAAGGCTGTCGTGCAGGGGGTCGGCGGGGTTGCAAAAGATATTGTTTCCCATGCGAATGCACCGTGTCACTGCTGATTCGGCAGCACGCGATGCCAAATCATTTTTAGCAAATCACTGACCTTGATGCTAGCTTAAGCGATTTTTTTAACACTTTAAAATCACAAATCAATAATCCAGGAAAGACTATGACTGCCCTACAGGTAAAAAAAAGGAAGAATACATGCAAAAATGAAGTTTTCACCTGCTTCCTTGTGTCATGCAAGTTCCTCAGTCTTTTCGCGTAGAACGATGCCATGTTAATTCCTGACTGTAACGACGCGAGGTGTGGTATACAGACAAGGTGACTTGTGGATGTTTTCTTCTTCATCTTCCATCGCCGCTTTTTCTTTCGGGTGGGAGAAGACGCGTCATACAGAGCTTCCAACGTTCCCGATCCTGTGCCAGAGCCTCAGCATTGGCAGAAGGTATCTGGAGTCTGGATCAGACTTCTTCCATATATTTGCACCAGGTTAATCTTGGCCGTCCCCTGGGCCTTTTGCCGGTCGGATTTGCAAGAAACAGTTGCTCTGCCTTCCTTTCTGGATGTATTCGCAACACATGCCCAGACCATCGCAGCTGTGATTTTTCAATCTGGAGAAGCAAAGGCTGTACAGCAAGGCTCTCCCGGATGTCAGTATTCCAGATCATGTCGAGACGCGTAAGGCCAGCGACTCGTTTAAGAAAGCTCATTTCATCACTTGCGGATATTCATTACTTATTGTTTTAAGTATTTAGTACTTGATGTGTTATACTTGGGTCACAGGTTTGTCGCATATTTCCGGGTTACGTGATGAAAGGTTGAAGAGTGTAGCATTTTTAGTATTGCGCATCATGTAGATTGCCCTGTTTGAGTTTGATGTTTAGACACAGCTCATTTGAAGAACAAGAGCGGGAAAAATTACTGATGTCGTTTCTGTAGCTATTCCAATCCTCAGACGACCGCAGAACGCTTACGACTAACGTGTGATCAGCATACTTAATGCACGTTTGAGGAGCACTGTCAATGAAATACAACCATCGATAAAAAGATTAAAC